CTTTCGATATATCGTGTGAACTTTTTAAATTTAGGCGGGGTGTTTTAAGAAATTAATTTATGAAAAATACGTTGAAAATAGATCGATGTAAATAAGAATTTGATTTTAAAAATGTGAATAAATGTTCTTTTTTTTTTGTAAAAAAAAATATTTTTAGTAACGGTTATTTGCTGTTGCTATCTGGTCATGTCATCCTCTGATTGGTTAGATTTGAATGTTACTGTTTTTTTTTTTTTTTTTTGCTTGTGTGGTATGATGCAGAGTCCTGTTGCTAGGCATAGAGTATTTCAGCTGCCACTCTCTTGACCCAGGGCAGCACTACCTCCTCAACGGAATTGGTGTAGGCCTTTGTGCGGAGTCTGAGACCCTGCTGGAAGAAGAATGGAAGCCATCACCAGTGATCACTCCAAACACCTTCGTAATCACCACAAGACTCTTCCAACTCTTTCCGAATCTTCTGCACTGTTCCCAAATTGACACCCAACACACTGAAATGTTTGTATTGGAGCTTCCGGCGCGGATGCCAACTAGAAGAGCATGCAGTTTCCAAATTTCTGGCGGAGTGAATTGCGTCATTGGTGCACTTTTTCTCACAGACGGTGCCCAACTGATCCTACTATACTGTGTAGTAGACAAAATATAAAAAACAACGCGCATGCGCGAAATTTAAATATATATATATATATATATATATATATATATATATATATATATATATATATATGAAAGAAAATAAAAAAAACAAACAAAAATCTTAATCTTCATGCACATTATAATGTTAATTATGTTAAATAAAATGTCCATCGAACGTTTCGGTCTATTTAAGACCATCTTCGTCGACATTCTAATATTAACATTAATACAGCAAAATTGCATATTAAGATTTTTTGTTTGTTTTTTCTGTATTTTTCTTCATACTGTCGGATCTATATCCATATATTTGCTTATATATATATATATATATATATATATATAATGGTGACAATTTACCCATCGCACCCTGTATGTGTAAGCTATATTCCAAAATTTTCACCGGAAACTGGTACTATTTTTTAAAAAATGTCAGTAATTTTTTTTTCAAATTGTAAAGTCTTGGTTAAAAATTTGGTAACGGAGAATTAGAATGTTATAAAAATCAATGCTTACTTCAATCAATTATAAATCAAACATTGCCCATATCTGTAGACCATTCCTAAAACTTAATTGTGGGTTGCTCGGAATTCTCGATAGATGTAGGTGAAACATTTTAAATGTAAACTAAGAAGGTTTTTATCACGTGACCCAATTTATCTTACTTTGGTTTTTTTTTTTCTTATCAATGAACTTCTGCTCTGTGAGAAAGGTGGCAGCAGTTTTGTTTTTTCATCAATAGATGCAGCCTCTGCAGTAATTATATATCAGTCCAAAACTTTTTCTTATATCTAAATGATCCACCCTTACTTACACTAACAGGCTTCATGTCACTAGTAGCAGGACTTATTAGATCATCGTATAGACTCCGTTCTTTCAGCTGCAACATTCATATCTTTCTATGTTTTCTATTCATATCTTCCACTCACAAATTTAATACTTTTTCCAATTTTACTATAAACTTCTCAGGCATCATCACCGTGACTTTAGCTATTTGACGTTACTTCCTAAACTTCATGAATCGATGATTCGATTTGAATTTACGTGTTCGTAACTTGAGCATATGGAATTGTTCCTTTCCATATGAAACAAATAACTTTTTTCTCTATTTTTCGAGCAATGGAAGCAGTTTATGGCTTCTTTTTTTTTTTTTTTTTTTTACTATTGGAATTGTCTGCATTATTGCTTTGGTGCTATTATTAATAAAATACTGTCTTGAATTAAATTAAGGTGAACATTGTTACTGTGATTAAGCAATCAATAATTCGAGCTGAGTGTCGTAAGCCCATTTGACGATAGAGGGCATGCAAATCCCTCGCTAAGAAACATCATTAACTTGTGCAGCAAATCAAATGTAAAAATAAAATGGATTGGAGAAAATTTTTTAAACGAAGCATTTTATTTTTTTATTTATCATTTAGTTATTTATCATTTATTCATTTACTACTACTACTACAACAACAACAACAACAACAACTCCTCCTCCTCCTCCTCTTACACCTCCTCGAACTCCCAGGATTTAAAAGCTCAGGCATTGGTTTTGACAATTTTTAAATTGATTTTTTATTAGTTTTAAAATACTGTTATTAGAGTCGGTTATGTTTGTCTTTTCTTTGCGGGCTTGTGTAAGTTTGGATGTGCGGGTGGTGTAATGGATAACGGCTCGTAATTTGAAATCGGAGAACCGAGTTCCAATTAAGCTCGTTATATTCACTTACGCGGAAATACCCTTGGGAAAGGTATGAATCCACCTCTTCTCCCCCTAACTATGGGTTAATTAGTAGGACTTGTATCACTAAACCATTATCTCCAAAAAATTCTTCTAATTTAAAAAAAAAAAATTCTGACTTTAAATAACCTGCAAAAGGTTAAGCCGTGAAAACAAATCAAGCAATCAATAAAATGAGTGTATATGTGTTTCAGATGCCTCCACCTCATATTCAAACATATTCCTGCTGGCGGTAAATATTTACACACACACCCACATACACTTTTTAGAACTTAACATGCAATCATATATGAATAGAATCAGTCAGTCAATTATGTGTCCTGCGCGATACACACTTATCGATACATGGCTGACGAGACAGATTTTTTCCCGCAGTAGCTTGCCATTTCTTTCTGTAGTAGACCCGTTGCCATCCAAGACTATAGAACCCGGGCCGTCCTGCTATTTATCCATAACTGAGGGAGAAGAAGTGGTTTCATACCTTTCCCAAGGGTATTAGCACGTAAATGAATGCAATGGATTCGACTGGAATCCGAACTCGGCTCTCCGATTCCCCAATTCGAGACGCTATACATTACTCCACGGTGCGTTGTTGTTGTTGTGTCGTTGTGTTGTTGTTGTTGTGTCGTTGTGTTGTTGTTGTTGTGTTGTTGTTGTGTTGTTGTTGTTGTTTTTTTTTGTTTGTTTTTTTGTTTTTTTTTATACGACTGTATGTGTTTGCGTAAAACAACTAAGGGAGGGCCATTATATTTTCGTTAAACTTAACTCGTGTCGAAACCACATTTTGGCGCAGGATTGAAGCGAAAACATGAGTGGCAGACAACCTCAAGGCCATAAACGAGCAACCGACCGAAATGGTTTGTCTGTCAGAATATAATTGGCAAACAAAAGAGGAAATGCTAACACACATATGTTCTGACATTGGCTACACCCGATTCTTGACGTATTACATTATCGGGGAAGCAGGTGTGTTGCGAGTAAAGAGGCACCGTAGGTATTTACTGGTCTTGTTCATTAACCAATCCCAATGTTTGCTTGTAGTCATTTTTCCGACTATCTTAAAGAAGTAGAAAGTATTAATCTTGTAACTCTAGTAGCAATGGCGACATTTTTTTTTCTGAATCCTAACTTTGCAACGTTTTCTCTTCAATTGTTCGCTAAAAGAAAAACAATAATACCTACACACTCATTAATGTTGTAGGGTGCGTTAAACAAATCTATCGCCTCTCTCATTTTTTTTTTATTTCTCCATTCTATTGTATGCTGTTAAATTATAATGCTGTTCGTAAACAGTTTTGACAGCTCATTCCATATATATATATATATATATATATATATATATATATATATATATATATATATATATATATATATATATATCTGTCTTATCAAAAGTTGGACAAAGCTTAAAACATTAAATAAAACAATCATTAATGCTTTGAAACAACGTTTTGTTTCCTGCAATACGAAGGAATATATATATATATATATATATATATATATATATATATATATATATATATATATATATTTATATATTATATGCGCAGTACTTATTAGAAAGCGCTCAATATCAGAGATAGAGCTGACATATTTGGTTGGATTGATGTGAGTTTGTGACCCTGGGTTTCACGCTTTTGTTTAAGATTTCTCGAATATTCTCCGAGGTAGAAAATAAATAAAAGTAGTGTCTACTCAAATATCGTTATCCACTAAAAATAACGTTTAAAAGAGATAAAATCTGTCGGATCAATAAAAACAATGGATTACTTTAGAAAATGTCTACTATACTGTGCTCAGTTATATAAAAGAAACGAGCAAGACCATATTAACAAAACACTCGGCTGCTGCGGAAAGTTTTAAACAACGTGAGGCGCTGCCCTCATAATCGCTCAACGAACTAATGGTGGCTGATTCAAAAAAAAAGTACCAGATTAAATAGGTCGGACTGTATTTGTGGATTCTATGGTTATGTATTTTCCAATGTGTCTGAAACTCTCTGGAGGCATTGTAGAATAATGGATTGCAGTTCGGACTAAGGAATCGAGTTCGAATTCTAGTCGTGTTTATTACATTTATATTAGCATTTAAGTACGTTCTAGTACCCTTAGGAAAGGGATGGATCCAACTATTCTCCCCAAGCTATGGTTAAAATATTAGGGCAGACTAGGTTCTATAGCCTTGGGTGGCAACCGGTCTAGGAGAAGGAAAACTCTGAATTCAAAACTGTATGTAGCCCTGGCGAAGCACATAGTATGCAGCTAAGGAAAGGATCGACTTGATGATCCCGACTACGGTCGACTTTCTACCTCCCCCCCCCGCCAGTATCTAAAAATGCGCTTTTATAAGATCCAGCCCACTTTTTAGAATTTTAATAAGAGGTTATAGTCATTCCAAATTTACACTGTTAAAAAAAAAACAACAACAACAAAAAAAAAAAAAAAACACTTTGCTATTACTTTTCTTAACGATATCGCTTGGTATAAAGAATTTTCAAATCACAATCTGTTGCAGAACTTAAACTTATTCGCTTCGTTGAGAAGACATGGGAAGATCAAAAGAATTCTTATCAGGATTCTCAAAGCAAACTCATCCCCGTTTGGAAGAATGACGCATCACAATATTCATATATCAATTCCCCTTATGTTTGGCCTTGCGTTCGACATAGAGAGAGAAAGAGAGAGAGAGAGAGAGAGAGACGTGAGGAAGAAAGACAAAAGAGAGAGAGACGTGAGGAAGAAATACAGAAGAGAGAGAGAGAGACGAGAGGAAGAAAGAAGAGAGAGAGAGAGACGAGAGGAAGAAAAGAGAGAGAGAGAGACGAGAGGAAGAAAATAGAGAGAGAAAGACGAGAGGTAGAAGAGAGAGAGAGACGAGAGGAAGAAAGAAAAAAGACAGAGAGACGAGAGGAAGAAAGAAAAAAGACAGAGAGACGAGAGGAAGAAAGAAAAAACACAGAGAGAGAGAGAGAGAGAGACGAGAGGAAGAAAGATAGAAGAGAGAGACGAGAGGAAGAAAAGAGAGAGAGACGAGAAGAAAGAAAAAAGACAGAGAGACGAGAGGAAGAAAGAAAGAAGACAGAGAGAGAGAGAGAGAGAGAGACGAGAGGAAGAAAGATAGAAGAGAGAGACGAGACGAAGAAAAGAGAGAGAGAGAGATGAGAGGAAGAAAGACAGAAGAGAGAGAGAGAGAACTCCTAACTCAAGAAAGAGAGCGAAGAAGACTAAGAGAGGAAGAGAAAGAGAATAACAAATGCACACTTAGGTAGTTCACCGTGGCCTAGTGACATTCTAGAGTTCGGTAAACCAGTCCTGTGATAGACGGCATTGCCATTCCTGTTTTTGGCAAACCAGCCCTGAAAATGGAGGTAGACCTGGTTGCTATTCTAGTGCTTGATTTGGAGATAGTTACTGTTGTGATTTCGATCCACACTGGCTGCTCCCACAATTCTAACCCTGTATTGTACTATGTTAAGACAAGCCAAATAAATTGCATATTTTGAATCTTTTGTTCTTCCAATTCTACTTCTAAACTTTATCTTACTGAAGAATCGAGTCATTATTCTCTCTCTATCCTTTCACTTTTATTTACCCCTCTCTCATTGAACTCCTTTCTATTCATATTTCTCTTTCATCACTCCCTGCAACAACTCATTTCTCACCCTTTTCTTTCATTGTTTCTTCCTGTTCAGACATTTTCGTTGTCTGTTTCTAGTCTTGCTTATTATCGCTTCAGTTCTTTTCTAAACCCAGCATCATGTATCGTCCGTTCCAATCCCCTCAGGCAATTCCAACGAGACGACCTCGGTACAATTCTATAAACCAGCCAAATAAGCCACAGCAGTCCGGCTTTAAAAATTTAAGAGCTTTTATTCTTCAATAGAACCGGCGCTTGAGTTCACTGTCGGCACATTTACCCAGGCCTCACCGAAATCCAATTACATCTGGACAAATTACAAACATAGAAGTCATTATAAAAGCAAAATCAGGCAATCCACAATCATATGTTATTTTAAAAGAAAACGTCTGCTCTCAGAGTGGCACAGGACTTGTAATAATGAAGCAATTGAATTTACAAAGTCTGACGTGGAGAAAGTAACGCGTTTGAACATGTGGCTGAAATCGACGAGGATAATTAAAGAAAGTAATGGCTGAATTAGCTTTGTTTATAAGCACAATCCATATCTGATTTTGTTGTAAGGATGGCTGTACTTGCTAGATGCTTTGAAACAAGATGCAAAAGTACACATGGAGTTCTTTGGCATCTTTATGAAGAGTGTGGTGGGTAGCGTAACGGCTATAGGCAGGGAAAGTGGAATCAGCGAGCAGAGTTCGAAACCCGGCATCGCTGTTTGCGTTCATTTTCGCACACGTGCCCCCGGGAAATGTATAAATTCACCTCCGCACGCAGCTGAAGTTTAAATAGTAGGTCTAATTCCACCAGTTGAGACATTTAGAGCTAAGACCTGACATACCATATACACAGCGGCGAAACATCCTCTTTCCATTCGTATTCAATTGATAAGAAGCAAATCCCTTTCGGACAGTTTCTTCCCAAAGAAGAACCACTACTTTATTGAAATGACTCCTGAGAGGATGGTTCCCCGAACACTACAATCTTAACATCAACCGTTACTTATTCTCATAATCTGCATTTACTTGATTTATTTCTCTCCTACATCGATATAACAATCTCATTTAATAACCATCTACTACGAGTGGCTCTTGAGCCTTGTATTGAGTGAGCATTTAGTAGTAAAAAAACTACGCCAAGAGACTAGTCTGGATTCAGAATAGTGGAAAAGGCAACAGGAAACTACTCCACTATCTTTGCCAAGAAGTAATGGCAATTCACATATAAAAGAATCTGTAGAAAGCCATGATCGACCTGAAGGGACGTGATATTGAAAAAAATATTAAATATTAGAAAGAAAACACTTAAAATATGAACGAACGCCGAAATAAAAAAAGCTATTACGATTATTATTGTTGGGTGATCGTCTCTGAAACTAGAAATATTGAAGTCGCTAGAGGGCGTGTCATTTGCTAACTATAAAATTGCTGCTATTCACGATACAAGTTTAGGTAGTTGCGAAGTACGTGAAGATGGGGAGGAAGGAAGGAAAGAAAGGAGAAGAAATAAAGTCGAAAAAAGAAGAAGAAAGGAGAAGAGAGAAAGAAAGGAGGAGAAGAAAGAAAGGAGAAGAAAGAAGGAAAAGAAAGAAAGAAAGAAAGAAAGGAAAAGAAAGAAAGGGTAAGAGAAAGAAAGGAGGAATAGAAAGAAAGAAAGGAGGAATAGAAAGAAAGAAAGGAGGAAGAGAAAGAAAGAAAGGAGGAAGAGAAAGAAAGAAAGGAGGAAGAGAAAGAAAGAAAGGAGAAAGAAAAGAAAGAAGGAAGAGAAAGGAAGAGAAAGAAAGAAAGTAGGAAGAGAAAGGAGGAAGAGAAAGAAAGGAGGGGGAGAAAGACAAAAAGAAAGAAGAAGAAAGAAAGAAAGAAAGAAAGAAAGAAAGAAAGAAAGAAAGAAAGAAAGAACGAGAAGAAAGAAAGAAAGGAGAAGAAAGAAAGGAAAAGAAAGAAAGAAAGAAAAAGAAAGAAAGAAGGGAAAAGAAAAAGGAGGAAGAGAAAGAAAGGAGGAAGAGAAAGAAAGAAAGGAGAAGAAAAAGAAAGAAAGGAGGAAGAGAAAGGAGGAAGAGAAAGAAAGAAAGGAGAAAGAAAAAAAGGAGGAGGAGAAAGAAAGAAAGGAGAAAGAAAGAAGGAGGAGGAGAAAGAAAGAAAGGAGGAGGAGAAAGATAAAAAGAAAGAAGAAAGAAAGAAAGAAAGGAGTAGAAGAAAGAAAGAAAGAAAGAAGGAAGGAAAAAAGGAAGGAAAGAAAGAAGAAAAAAAAGGAAAGAAGTAAAGAAAGAGGAGAAAAACCAACAACTATTACTATTACGATGATGATTATGTTTAAGAGAGTAGCCCGCCAACGAAGCCCAATATACTCATCATGACAACAGACCGATAAGGGAGTATAACAGACACATGCATCACAACAAATGTGCATTTATATGGAGACAGGTTTTGATGATTATCATTGGATTTTAAACTAATCAGTTCTTTGGTTGTTAAACTAAAAAAAACAGAAAAAAGTAGCTTCAGACGAGACTGATTTATTTGTAAGGAATATATAACGAGTTCACCTTTCGTAGAGAATGAAATAACTACTTATATATTTCTTCTTCTTTAACCAGGTACTCATCTCGAGAAGAGTAATATTATCTGTTTTCTGTTAAGACGTTTTTCATGAAAATCAAATCTTAAAAAAATAGAATGTACTTTTGAATCTTTCACAACGTATTTTTATTCGCTTTACTGGTTGTTAAGACGATAAAATGATACACAATGGAAGAAAACTAGTCAACATATTTGTAAAAATACAATCTTAAAACATATTTCGAGACGATTAAAAGTCAAAAAATACATCATTGTAATTAGTGATCGATCATGGTATCGACAAATATGGAATAAGGTCACATTCATAGAACATGGCTAAAAGCCAGAAGTAAAACAGTCGATTTGAGAAATGGCATTTTACATTACGAATAGAGGTTCTCTTACGCAATCTGCTCGGACTAAAACATTGAAATGTTCGGGGAGAACATTTAATACAGTAAAACTTGCTTAAGAATACAAGATTTGAAAACTAGTCTATTTGAAGCCAGAGACAAAAAACACAAGCACTATATCAATAGTAATTGAAAAAATTCACTTAAAAAGATTGAGTCGTAGTTTCTGTTCTATAATGTGTTTCGGTCTGTTTTTTCGCTTAGTTGAATAATTCATATTGTTGTCAGGCAAATATCTGCATTTTGAATCCTGATTAAGACATATAGTCAGAATAGTGATGCAAAATAATCTACAGTTTCCCTTAATATTCCTTATTCTATTTAACCTGTTGCTGTAGTCAACTAAGCTTGTTACAAATGTACACTATGATTTTACCCAAATAGTGCTTTCGCAGTAATGAGGAAAATGACGTTTATTAAAATGTTTTGTGTCATTTTCCCTTGTTCACTCACATTCTCTCTCACTCAAAGAAGTTTAGAGAAGCAGGTTTCAAAGGGAAATAACTCTATTGACAAACCTCCCTTTATCACTGATGCCTGTTACGTTGTGATTAAGGTTCGACTATACTACTTATATCAGTCAGTTATACGTGATACACGCTTGGGCGATCATATCGTTTTCGATTTATGACCGACTAGGCAGAAGATTTTACAGTAGCAGGTTGCCGTTTCTTTCTGCGGTAGACTGGTTGCCATATAGAATCCAGTCTGTCCTGCTATTCAACCCATAGCTGAGAGAAGAGAAGAGAAGAGATTGATTCACATCTTTCTCAAGGGTATTTGCACGTAAGTGAATGTAACAAACCTGAACTCTGTTCTCCATTTTCTCATTCAGAGCCATTATTCACAACGCACAACACCACACATATTATTAAGCACGATATTTATGGTAGCTTTATATGCAACATATGTTGATGTTCGTGCTAGCTTTATATGCAACAAGAAGGTTAATAAGCAGGTTGTTGTTAGTACAGCATCGAGATGCAGAAAGATTTCTTAATATCTCCAAATAGAGATTTTTGGCACAAGTTTTCATTTGGTTTAGGGAAGATTCGCGTTGATGTGTGTCTGCTTTAATTAAGGAGTTTCCAGACAAATTCGGTTTTATTTACCGGGAACTGTTATTAGTCAACGTATGTCCTTTTTATCATCCGTACTTAAAAGCACTTGTCAATAGTTATTTGCTTTGCATGTCTGCAAGTAGGAGTGTATAGATTCTTCTGCATATGATGTCGATGGCTGGTTTCTCCAAATATTATGTACGTTTTAAAATCATGATTATACGCATCTGTATATTTTATTTTCTTCATTTTGTAGTAGGCTCAATAACGCTATTTTTTTTTCTTGGCTTTGTATTGGTTGAATATTTGGCAAACTTGAACGTTCGGGTCTAAAAAACAAAACAAAACAAAAAAAAAATGGAGTGTCAAAAGGCCGGTTTTTCCTTTGACGCCGCTATTATTTTAACTACCTCCACTCCACTGCAATGTTTATCGTTTTTAAAAAGCGATGATTAGAATTGTAATAAAACTTAAAAATAAGAAAGCGAATTTATGCATTTTTTTAACCCAACAATAACTGCTTATTTATGCTGTTGTCGTGTTTAACAAGTTGATGATATATTTGTTTACCTAATGTTGTTTTATGGTGGCATTGTCCGTAAAAAATGTAATTGAATATAACGTGAGCACCTTTTATATATAACTTAAGTACTTGGTAATCTTTAATCGGTAATTTAGGAAAATATTCTCCGTAATCCAATGTTTTAATGGATTTTACATAAATTGGTTTTAAATTTACTATAGTTACCGCTATTATATTCTGATAATGTCGTATATAGGCGACCGTATCTGCAAAAATCGGCACGTTTATACACATAAAATGCATTCAAAATTCTTTTTAAAAATATTGGTGTTCCGTGATTCGTTTTAAGCTTTTTCCAATTATGATTAGTAAATATTTGTTTTATTTAATAATAAAAGGGCGAAATAAATGCAAAATTTTAAAATATTTAAAAACTTAAAATTAAAAACAAAAATGAAAACAATTCTTGTAAAAATTCATTATTCATTGAAACAAAAAATATGAGACAATAGTGTCCGTAATATATCTTATTTATAAAATGAATTAAATGTTTAATTAAATACTGTCATAGCTTTATTGCATGTTTTATTTTACGATTCAGAATAAATTTTCGGTAAATGGTGTGTGTTTGACAAAAACAAATTGATGATTTATATTCTCCAAGATGTCCTGCTTTATAACTAATATAAAAATGAAGAGGTGCAATTTTAATTTCTAAAAATAAGTAAGTGGCAGTAACAGATATATGTGTGTGTTTGTTTATATATATATATATATATATATATATATATATATATATAGTGTGTGTGTGTTGGGGGGGCAATTAACTAATGGTAATAAATGGAATATTCAGGTTGTCTGAGATTTTCCTGTAACTTCTTATCTTCTTTCCAGAGCTTAGCATCAGTTCTTTTTGCGAATTTGTCAATTCTTTACCTCTTGCCCTGATGATAACCTTCTTGCACGAATATCAGTTACAGAATTTTCTGTTCTTATTTTTAGGCTAGAATATTCCACATGAGTAATCTAGAATATTAAAGCAATTTAAAATTTTTGAAGTCTGAAAATTACATTGTACGAATATTTTTTCACCCATTAAAATGGATAAATGGAATTTATTTCTATTAAATCATTTTTTCTGTTTTTTATGCATATTAAGTTATTATGAATCTGTGTACAGTTAATTATATAAAAATTATGTTTATTCATTAGGTGTAAATAAATTAAAAAATTTTATGTGTACGAATATTTGTTTCCCCTCATTGTATATAACCAAAATTTTCTTTAAAAATAAAACAAATAATTTCAGTCATTTGTGAATAGGTCCTGAAAATATCATTAAAATCTAACTATTATTTGATTTTTGCAAGAGTTTCCAAAACTGTTTTTTTAACGCAAAATAAAGATGCTAAAATTTCCCATATTAATCTTTGGCCCATGTGCTGACGCAAGAAAAAAAGATTTTTAATGAAAATTTCGAACGTACAAGAAAAGATTAAAAAAATTAATAAAATAATAGAAAAACGCTTTGCTCTTTCCTCTTAATAATAACAAAACGTTTGACGATAAAACTTTGTTTTTATCATATTTGGGACCTTTTTATTATGGTATGCTCTTTTTTAGCGAATTTTTGGAGATACCTAAAATAAAGCAAGAATTATTAAGCGATAATTGAGATTTCTGTTTAATGACACGAATGTAAATTCTAAATGATATATTAAGCAAAGCCGATTTTGATGCCAAATCATAACAGGAGAATATCCAGAGAGAAAGAAACGTCATAAATAAAGGCAGAGTCAGCAAGACTGACTTTATAAATCTACCTCTACACTAGAAGCTTTAAAACATTTTTTGAAAGACAATGGAAGTCACTATGAAAAAGAAACGAAAATAATGAACAAAAAAAAAAAATCGTAAAGAATGTAGAGGAGGAAGGGAGAAGAATGAATCGACAAAATTAATTAAGAAATAAGAAAAAATAAATACAAAGTTCAAAAAGAATGTAAGAAAGGATTAAAATATAAGATATAAAAAGAATGGATTGGGAATTAAAGTGAAAAGAGAGAGAACAAGAAAAAATGAAAAAAAAAAAAAGGTTAGAAAGGGAGTAAAACGTATCTCTTTCAATGTTTACCAAATAAGACAATATAATTTTATATATCAACAAACAGTATTTAGAAAAATAGTATGACAAATTGAAAAAAAAAAAAAAATTTTTGTGGTACGTTTCATCCGTTAGATTTTCTTCGGACTGGGCTTTGTTGATGTTGCCACGTCAGCACATGCGCACGAAACGAGAGATGCTGGTGGTTACAAAAATTTTGAAAGAATATATATTTTTAATCTAGCCAAATTCATCTGTATTTTTTTCTCTCCATTAACTTTGTCCCTGACTATCCCACATCGTGACAACAGAAAAAAATCTACCAAGAATGGGTGATATATTGTAAGAGCCTAGACGTAAATATACCGTCGCTGAACTGGCGATCAAGGCACTTTCTCGACATTTTCATCGTCATCAATTATTTTCTCTTTTAATTAAAATAGCATTCCCTATGTCAAAATTGTGACCGGTTTAGTTACGGTGTACAACCAATGGCTTTTGTGTGCTGTTTTTTATTATTATTTAAATCCCCCTTTTGTGTTCATAATGATCTTTTGTTTAAACTTCTTGAAGTTTCTTCGGGTTATTCTTTCTAGCAATTCCTGCCATTGATAGAGTAAATTCCTGCTTCAAGTTTTGGCCTGATGTTTCGTTTTTTATTGATTAAGTCTTTGATTGTTGTAGATGTAGTTGTGACAAATTTTATGTTGAGTTTAGATAAATTCTTTTCGGTTGTAGTTGTGACTAGAATAATATATATTTATTATTCTTTTCGGTTTATATATATATATATATATATATATATATATATATATATATGTTGTATATTCCAACGAGAGAAAAGTATATATTAAAAAGAAATAAACGTTTTGGTTGTAATGTGGATTTATTGAGAAAAATTTTATACTTTGTTTTACATAATTTCACGACACGTTTTCTGGTCTGGTCTGCAAACGTCTTCAGGTGAAAGTGGAGATTTTACATATTATTAAAAATAATTAATTTTTCTTCATGTTCAAGATATGAGACATTCTGTTTGTGTGTTGGCAATCCGAATTTTCTTTCTAGAATTGTCAATGAAGAGTTCTGCGTGAAGGGTCATAAAACAATTAAAAGTCCATTAAATCTTTTAATGTTTTAGTGACGTGTTCTTGGATCTGTTTCTATTTTGGCGTGTTCCTGTCAGCATGCGTGTATATATGCGTGCGTATAAACCTACGAGGAATTAAACTTATTTGTATTATACACGCACACACACATACGCACATCACACTATCCCACCAGAAGTACACACACACATATACACACATTTTCCCAAGCTACATGGAACCAGTACACACACATACACACACACATTACATTGTACACATCCGCACACACACACAGAAAACAAATATAAATGTATGTATGTGTACATACCATATATATATCTCTCCTCGTGTCTCCCGTATATGAGTGTGTCCATGTATGTGAGCGACAGTATTTGGTCACCCTGTGTGCATGTTTTTTTTTTTTTTTTTTTTTTGAGGGGGGGTTACGATCTATTCAGTTCGGGTTTGAATTTGTCTATAAAGTTTTTTTCCTGTATTTGAATACGAAATTGTCTGTTTGATATATCGGCATGATATTAAATTTTACCCTGGTTACATTTGAAAATGTGTTGTGATACAAAAAGTTTTCTGTTGTCTGTCAATTTTATATTGCTTTTTCCCTGTTGTTCACCTGAAGACGGTTGCAGTTTAAGATTGTGAATGTTTTTTTTGGGTTTTCAAAAGTGTAGACCTTCTATAATGATGTCAAAACACTTTTTTGTTGCATTTTTGTGTCGTGTTTTAGGTTTCTAGAAATTATTTTGGTTGTTTTTAAAATTATTCAGTTTAATTCTTGTTATAAAAGATTTTTCTGGGAATATTTCAGACATAAATTTGTTCCGTTACGTTTCTTTTATTTCTAAGTTGGTCAACTTTTGTTGAGTTCAATACCTTTGTTTATTAAAAGGGGTAGCCTTTTTTGAGGTAGCCTCTTCTCATTGACAATTCTAAAAAGAAAATTCGGCAATTTACAAATAGAATGTCTTATCGAGAATATTTTGAATATATATATATATGTAAAAATCTCCATGAAGACGGTTGCGACAGACCAGAAACACAAATTATGTAAAACAAAGTATAAAAATATAAATATATTTGCGGCCCCCTCTTCTTTTTTAATATATATATATATATATATATATATATATATATATATATATATATATATATATAGAGAGAGAGAGAGAGAGATCTGTTGCTTCGATCAAATGACGTCAACTGTAAGTGAGAGGTGCGTGGTTGAAAAACTTTTCACTGTCTTATTAGTGTGTTAATAAGAGTGTATATGTGATAATGTGCGTATCAGATGAAGGTTATTATTATTATTAATAACTACTGCCATAATAATGATAAAAGTATGAATATATAAGAAAGGGGGAAATTATTTGCGACTACAGGATAAAAATGATGAATGTAATAATACAGCAAATCTCAGTATTATGATAATCCCGACTTACGACGATTCGGAGTTACGACGCAATTTCCATTAACTTTGTTTCGACTTCTGTCATTTGCCTCGCAAATAAGGCGGCGTGGGTCTGTTTCGCTCTATTTTGTTTGTGGAAACTTACTCCCGCTTCGTTATGGCTCCTAAGTGTAGTGTAACCTTTTCTGATGGCGGTGATTTGAAGAAAAAGAAAGTCATCACCATCATGGAAGTGAAATTAGACATTGTCAAACGCTCTGAAAAGAGAGAAACAGGGACTAACAATGGCCGGTTGCTGGGCTTAAATTATTCGACTGTCACATAAAACGTGTACAGATATGGATACATATTGTGTTTCCCTGTAAGAGAGAAGGACATTTTCTTGTTAAGCTGTAAATTGGTGAATTCCCGTTAAAAAAAAAAGTCACCTTTGTTTTTTTGTTTTTTTACTTCTCCAGATTTGCTGCTACCTCCAAGCACAGCAAGAGAAACAAGATCTTACGTTTCGTCACCTCGTCTATCGGGAGTCAATGGCATCACTGGCAATAAATATACAAGCAGCTTAAAACATTTCATATCATTATATGTATTATATTTATGTCCTCCATGTGTTTTCGTCCTAATTGTGTTAACATATGTCATAGAAATGTCCTAGATTGTTACTTTACTATTGCATTAGCATAGGTGGGTGACGTAAGTGCTTATTCACGGAAAATCGCGGGTAAGTTCAGACTTGCACAGAAAATCGCGTTACAACGTATCGTAGGAACGGGACCTTGTCGTAAGTCTCGGATCTCCTATATGTATAATGACTATAAATATAGTATTAGCATTAATGAAAAAAACAGATAAAATTCCCTAAATAAATATTTAATAAATAATTATCTATCAGTCAGTTATGTGTCATGCGTGATACACGCTTAGGCGATCATGTATCGAAAGATAGATGATTGACGAGGCAGATTTTTCCCCGCAGTAGGTTGCCATTTCTTTCTGCGGTCAACCAGTTGCCATTCAAGGCTATAGAACCCGGTCTATCCTGCTATTTACCCATAGCAGGGGGAAGAAGAAGAAGAAGAAGAAGAAGAAGAAGAAGAAGAAGAAGACTCATACCTTTTCCCCAGAGTCACGTAAGTGAATGTAATGGATTAGAATGGAATTCGAACTTGGAACTCCACCGTATGGATGCATACTAGTATACATGATCAGAAAATAGACACATATAAGTATATAAACATATCTATCTAAACAGTCAGTTCTGTTCAGCTATTAATACTTAAAAGAAAATGATGTAGTTCTTTCAGTTATTATTTTTGTAAAAATTATAATCATTGAGAATTCCTCGGTCGTTATTTAATCATAAATTGTGGGTATTAAATTTAAGAATGAATAATTTTACACATGATTACTCGCGCGTGTACAATATTAATTATATGAAAGCAAAATCAAGTAACGTGGGGAAAAAACACAAAATGGCCGCGAATTATATTATTTCCAAGTTGTGCACAAAGACGAAAATTGTCGTACAGAGTTCTGTCCCTTGAGACGGAGACCGGATATGGGCGTGACTGAAAGATTTGAAGTAACACTACAGGAAATAGTGTCAAGGAACAGAGTTGGGCGTTCTTTTGGGTAGACGTAACTCGAAAAAGAAGAAATGTACTTGGCATGCCACCTTCTCCAAAATTAGCAGTGATTTACAAAACTTCATCGTAACTGATAGTGAAAGGGTTAAAATCTCTATAACTATCTTAACCAACCATCTATAATTACCTACCTGTCTGAACGAAGAAGAAAACGCAACAACAATAAATATGTACAGTGTAACCCGGATATAAGAGAGATTTTCTCTGGTCCCAAATTAGAGCCTGTGTTATCCTAAACAAAATAGACCAAACCCGGATATAAGAGACTTCTTCTCCGGTCCCGACAACTCTCTTATATCCGGGTTACACTGTATTAGGTAGAGATACAATGGAGATGTCAAAATGCTCTTGGTCCAGATTTATTTTTCAAAGGGTTTCTTGATCCGTCTGACCATGTTTTCAGAAAGATTGTGTAATGTTAAACACACGCAAACAAGAGAGATATGTAAAACTCAAACGACAACACTTGGAGATGAAAAAAAGAAAAAAAAAAGAAGGCATGTGCAAGTAAAGATATATTATTTCTTTGCTTTTTCCATTAACTTTTCAATCAGCTTTTCTTTCCTTACAAGTCACCCTTCCCTTTCTTTGACATCACTTTTCCTCCTACTGATCCTATTATCTTTCCTCCTATGGCTTCTTTCATATGCGAATCATAAACCCTTCTGCAATGTTCGTTAATCATTAAATTTTGGTAATCGCGCGTGCAACCAGCGACAGAGTGTTAAAGCATTGTTTCAATGATGAAAAAAACAAGTAATGACACGCCAAGTCCAACGAAGTAACAGCGACAAGAAAACACGAAGAAAAAGGCCGCCTTATTACACATTTTCATGCTCTTTTCGTTTCCTATTTCACTATAGATTTCTTTAGTCACACTTATTTCCGTTAGTTGAGACTGCCCGCTGTCGTGCCGGAACGAATGAAGCGTATTCACATATGCTCGCTTCAGTGGACTGCACTCAGAATTCAACTCAAGCCTACTGCGCGCTGATTCTGCTGATATAACTCCTCATAATTTTAAACTTTGGTTCCGGGCAAAGAAAAGTCTATATTTGGCGTTTACATAATTCCGCGCGCGCCCTCTCTCTTTTTCTAAATATTTTAAAATTATTTAATGCTTATATTAGAACAAGATCCCTTACCAGAAGTTGCAAAAAAAGAAAAACCGATAAAATTCTTGTTTTCACCACACGCAATATATATATATATATATATATATATATATATATATATAATATATAATATATATATATATATATATATATAAATGTATGTATACATATATAATATATATATATATATATATATATATATATGTATATATATATATATATATATATATATATATATATATATATATATATATATATAATATATATATATGTATATATATATATATAATGTATGTATATATATATATGTATGTATATATATATATATATATATATATATATATATATATATATATATATATATGTATGTATATATATATAATGTATGTATATATATATATATATATGTATATATATATATATATGTATATATATATATATATATATATATATATATATATATATAATATATATATATATATAAAATATATATATATATATATAATATATATATATATATATATATATAATATATATATATATATATATATATATATATATATATATATATATATAATATATATATATATATATATATATATATATATATAAAATATATATATATATATATATATATATATATATATATAAATATATATATATATATATATATATATATATATATATATATATATATATATATATATATATATATAATATAATATAATATATATATATATATCGCATCGAAAAGTACTAAATGATCCTCAACTATTACCTGATGCCACGTACAGTTGAAAAAAAAGGACAAAAAACATCACCGCAGCAGTAGATAATAATTTGAAAAAAT